TTGACATTAGTTATTGAAACCTTCAATAGCGTGGGAAAAGTATTTACGTATGAAGGCATGCAAAATCATGAGCAGAGTATTTACCACCAAAATAGTTTGTTGTCAAAGGGTAATAGTGAAATGTTGTTACTATTTTTTAGTGAAATCTAAAATAGAGAGAAACGTAGAGAAATTTTATAAGCATGCAAATGCATGTGCAGATGATTTACTAACAAACACACAATTTACTGAATATTAGTGGTGGTGTGAGGTTAATGCAAAAATGATTGACAGTGGCGAAAAAACTAAGTATTTATGGAACATTTTCTTTAAAAAGAAATGTATAAAAAATACCTAAAGATTTCTAAAGCGATGAAAATTTTTATATACATATGTATTTACAAATTTTATAAGAAAATTGCCAATAAATAGGAAATTGATAAAAAGTTTTAAAGATAAAAATAAGGATTTTTTAATAAATGGTAAATTTTGTGTCATGTGACGCATCTTTTAAAATTGATGTCTTCTGATTTGGAATAAATTTACAATCATTATTATATATTAATCTAATTATTATATTTCCACAAATGTTAACTTATTGTCACACACTTCGACCCACTGTATTCCTTTTTTTGTCTTACTAATGCTCTCTCACCTAACGGCATTTCTTATGGCGTGATTTTTGTCAAGTACAATGCATCATCTCTTAACCAAGAAATTTATTGTTAAGTGACCGGTGCGTGCGTAAAGTCGTGTATTAAGAACAGTGAAGAAGTTTTATAAAAAGTTAACATTTAAACAAATATAAGTTAATTATTTAAATTAAAGTTAAAAGGACTAGTTTCAGTGAAAGTGTTTTAAATATTAGCTTAAACAATATTTAATTAACCATTTTATTAACAATTAAGAGTGCAAAAACAAACATTTATATAAACGTTTGTATGGTATAGCTCTGCAGCAGAGATTTTTCACGTTAAACTTTTTACTAAATTTTATTAATTTGTTAATTGTTTTTAATTTTGTTAATGTAAATTGTTAGCATTCTTAATAATTTGTTTAAAAATTAAAAAAAAGTGATATAATTGTTGTTTGCATATAGTTTCTGTTTTTTCTGCATCTCTGTCATCAGCTCTGCTTTTACGTAGTTCTCTGCTGCACTTGTTAGTGTATTTTTTAAGAAGAAGTTTGTGGGTTAGAGAGGGGTTTTCTTGCTGTATTAAGTTTGCGGGGTGGTAGGAGGAGATTTTTGTGTGAATAATGTATGTGGGAAATTTGTTTGTGTTTTGAGGAGTTTAGTAGAATTCTTGTTGTGATAAAAGCAGCGCTGCTTGTATTTATTTTGTAGTATTGCTGCTTAAAGTAGTTAATAGGTAGTTGTGTTCTGTCAGGTCATTTGATTGTTGCAGCTGGCTGTTCACTTTACTTTTTTGGTAGTTTTTGTCGCTTGTTTTTTGTTTTTGGACTTAGTCGTATAGTTTGTTTTGTTTTTATTTAAGTGGTTTGTTTGTTTGTTGGTTGTACGTCTGTTTGGTGGGACAGTGAGTTGGTTTATTTTTGCGGGAAATAGTTGTTTGAAGGTATTGGTTGTAGGCTGTTTAATAATTTTGTTGTTTTTTTTATTTTATTCTGATTTCTATTTTTGATTTGTCTTAGCATCTCTCCACGAAGATGTGGTAGAGTGTGAGAGAGACATTTTAAATTAGTGTTTTTTATGTTTTTAAGTGGGTAATGTGGGGATGGAAAATGTTTGCAAATTTAGGCATTGTTTCGTTTGTATGAATGTATGTACGTTTCGTGTATGTATGAACGTACTTGTTGCTTTTTTATTGTGTTTGATATTTATTAATAGTTCTTTGAATTTCTTATTGTTACTTAAATGAGTTTGATGATTTATGTTAGTGATTGATAATTGGGCAGAGAAAAGGGAGTTGCATGAGAATTGATTGAGTGTATACAAATAATTTTATCTTGTCTATTCATATGCACTATTGTCAAGGTTAAAAGGTCTTAAAATTTAAGTTTTGTTTTTGAAAGCAGTGTGTAGTTATACCCTACATTCGTGCATGTAATTGTGTGTGAGTACTTGTTTAAATTTAAAAATTCTGTGAGTGAAGTGTTTGTTAATTTATCCCCCATCAATAATATATTTTTTTAATTTTTTAAAATAATGCAATATATTTGATTTATTTAAAATGAATTAAAAAATGCAAAGTACATTTATGATTTTATTACAGATTTTATAGAAATTTTTTAAAAAATTAGATAAAATTGTATTTGATAAAGACTTTTTTCATAGAAAGAGTCCCAACATATTTTTTATTAAATTTAGTTTTTTTTTAATGTTACAATATTTAAATCAAAGTTGACATTTTAAAAATTCAAACTTTTTATAAAAAGGCAATAAGCTACGGTCTGTTTCATAAACATTTATCAAAAGTTTATAGAACAAGTTTTGTTTGAAAATTCGTTTGAAATGAATTTTTTTATTTTTTATTAAAAAAATTGTTAAAACTTCTGATCGATTTATAGCTGATCTAAACTAATCTCGGTGTTATGAATATATCGACTAGTTAAAAATTTTCCGTTTAATTCAAACAGTCTGTTAGTCTTATATACATAAACATTCAGAATAACTTTTTCTGCCCTTATGCACATCATAATCTGTATGAATTTCTGAACTAGTCCGTCTATATTAGGATACCGTATTTGTCAGTATTTCTCAATTTATCCGTATATATCAATCTTCCTCAATCGTCTCATCTTTTTTTTTAACAATGCAACATATTGGTCCACATTACAAATTCCTTAAATAGATGACAAAAATCAATCTTCTGAGAAAAATAGCCGTTTTACTATAATTTTTAATAACAATGTTCAATTAAAAATGTTTACTAAAATATTTTGTAATTCATACTTAAAAAAATTTTTATTCAATTAAATTTTAAATTAAATGTTAATATTTTTCTATGTAAAGAAAATTTAAACAGTACACAGTATTTTTTTATTTTAAATTAAAAAATAATATTTTTTTATCTAAATTTAGTTTTGTTAAAATTCAGTATTAAAAATATTAATATATAATTCAGATTGTAGTGTCATATAAATAACCAGTTTTAAATAGTTTTAAAAATTTTAAATGAACAATATGTAATCTGTTTAAAATGTTAATAGACGTTCAAGATTTCTTATCCTCAGTAGTAAATGTGCTTTTCAAGTTCAAAATTTATATGTTTTTCGGAAAAAGGGTTCATATGTTTTGATTTAGCAATGTATATGTATCAAACTCTCTATATACATATGACATATATCTCTCTGCCAATATTTCTGCCAATTTGACTCAATGTCATATATTCGACATTATGTTCTCTCTGAAATGCAAATATTTCTCACATAAATTTGTCCGTCTTTATACTTGCCTGTCCGCCTGCTGAATTTATATGTATCAAACTCTCTATATACATATGACACATATCTCTCTGTCAATATTTCTGTCAATTCGACTCAATGTCATATATTCGACATTATAATCTCTCTGAAATGTTATTATTTCTAACATAAATTTGTCCGTCTATACCTATCCGCTTTACACTTGCCTGTCCGTCTGCAGAATATTTTAAATTTATTAGAAAAGTTTTTGAATTGAGGCAAATGAAATCGACCCATATTTTTCACAAATTCCAAAACTTGTTTTCTATAACTCTATATGTATATGTCCGTTTGTCTGCTTTTCTGTTCATCCGTCTGTTTGTTTGACTTTAGACTATCAGTACGTCCGTCTGTAAATTTATGTTGGTCCATTAATTAGTCTTTTTGTAGATGAATCTGTATATCATTCCAGTCCGTCTGTGGTTTACCTGTCCGCCTGGAATGAAAATATTGTCTACGTACAACCCATTCTGATATATTATCTCTGTATTTTTCCAATTCAAACCCAAAAATGTCTAGACCGTCTGTGCTTCATAACTTATCTGTCCGTCTGGAATGAAAATTTTGTTTTCATAACATCCATTCTAATATACAATTTTTACAAAAGTTGTAGAGTTTAAACCATGTGTTCTCCCAATTCTAAAAAAAAATATCTGTAATTTTTGTTTGTATTTCAGTCTATATGCCAGTATCTGCTATATTTTTAGGTCTGGCATTGCTTTATTCATTCTGTTTATCCGTTTTTAAATTATATCAAGGAAATTGCTTCAAATTGATCTATATCTTTTCCAAAATTCCAAAAATTACTTAAAATTTACGCAGATACGCAGATAGAAATTGGTATTAAGACATCGTACCACCAAATTTTACAATTTTCAAAACTAACCATAGTTCCCATTCCCAACTAAAAATTCAACAAAATTAACTTCAAGCACATTTACCTGAGTCTTTGCGTATAAAAAGTATTTTGAAAAAATAATTTTAACGTTGTTGTTTGCTTTTAATAATATCTTGTAATAATTTTTTCAAATTATTAATTACTTTACTAATATTAATTAAACCGGAAATGTACAGCATTTTTTGCATGTAATTTCATTACCTTTTATTTAAATATTTCTTTTTGATGGATGATAAAAGTTGAATATTTGTGTTTAAAAAAGGTAAGTAAAAAACTAAAACTATTTTTAATTATTCATTACATTTTATTCTATGCATTAAGTCATGTATTAATCGATAACATCAGGAACATTCCCACGGCAATTGGATCTTAGCTCCGATACCATCCGAGTCTTAAATTATCGGCCAAAGTCGAACTGTTACAATAACAAAATTGCAAACATATGTTCCATTGGTCGTGAGAAGTGTTCCTGCGAAGATTTAAGTAAAATTGTCAGATAGATGGCGCCGGAGTTTTAAAGTTTAGTTAATTACACCTTTAAAACTTTTAGGGATACACATAGGAGGATAGAATGAGGGCCGGTAGAGTGACTCATAAGCTAAGAATACGTCTCTGAGTTTGAGGTTTAGCAAATAATTCTTAGTATTAATTTTTGTCCAATATAAAAAAAATTAATTTCTTTTTTCGTATTTTTACAGATCAATAATTTTGTGACAGACTTAAAGAATTTCAATAATTACTTTTTCGGTAAGTGTTTTACAAATACTTTTTCAACTTTTATAGTTCCTCTTCTTCTGTGGGAAAAAACGACGAGAAAAATTTCAAAATAAAACGACAAGAGTTTAACGGATTATTTAAATTTAATTAAAAAAAATCCTGTTAAGGCCTACAGGACTTAACGATAACAATCGATACAGAAATAAATTATATATTATTAATAGATTATTTTATTTAATCCCGGGAATATACTATAAATATTCCCGGGATTAAATTAATTAAAACAATTTTTCCATACTTTATAACCTAGAACATTTTTTAAGAAATATTGTATTTTTCTTATGATTTCAAAATTTTTGCATCATAAAAATATGGTTAACGTGATATATAGTTTGTACGAAATCAAATTTTATTTCTTTTTGATCTGATTTTTAAAGGATTCTTAACAATAATTTTGTTTAAATTTATATGTTGATAAATATATTTAGCTTGTTTGAAAATAACATGTTTTTACATAAATTTAAAGCCGAAAAATAAATTTTTAATATTAAGGGCATTAATGAAACACGAGTGCAAGCTTGCTCATTTGCACAAATGACTATCTGTATTATTTAGAAAAGAAAATTTAGTTTAAAATGATCAGTACAAATAGGCATCAAATGTATCAATGTTGTGTAAATAAAATCCCATACAAAATGCACAGTTTGCGAGGCTTTTGAACGTTTATATGAAAACCCTTATTGTTTTTATGTTGGAATATTTATATTTTTATTAACTACAAATTTATTTATTTTTTGATATTGAGAATCATGTTTCCTATATACAAACTCCGATAAGCCCATTTTGTATATTATGTAGCCGCAAAGTTTTTAATATCATTTAAATGACTAACGTTATCCAGAAAGTGTAATTTTCTTGATATTCTGTAAGATGTATAAGTCCATAATTCGAATTGCACTGAAAAAAATTTCAAACAATCATGTTTTAATTATAAGGTAATGTGATGCTCTTACTGTAATTTTCTTCTACATATTTGTACAGAAGGTGTAACGCATTATTATTTTAAATTATTACACGTTGAAAAAGAAGGAGTTTTCGGCCAATTCGGAAAGAAAACATATGTTGTTTTGTTGTAGATTCGCATCAAAAACAGCAGCAATCCTTACACATTCACTGGTCATAAATACTAGGGATTTTTTGGTTCCAAAACTAGCCCTTCTTTTCTCTTCAATTTAATTTTTTCCCTTCGCAATTTTGCAACAAAATCACAATTCCTTTCAGACTTATTTTCTGTTGTTTATTTCGATATTGAAAATCACCAATTTTGTTTATTTTTTTAACTACATATTTTAAATGAGAGCCTTGAACACATATTTGCTCAGCATTTGCTGCTTAAAAGTTTTCTCATGACAAAAGTTGTGTATCGTTTTTTAAGAATATATAAGTTAAATTGTAATATTTTTTAAGAAATTTAAAATGTCCTATTATTTACCCAATTTTTCACTTACCTCTAATGTATAGTGTATATCAAAAGTAATTTGCACGAACTATTGAATTTTCATTCTCAATTTTCGCATGTACTTATTTATGTATACAAATTCAGTTAATGAAATTCGTTTCAGTATCTTAAAATTAATTGATTGTGATAAAAATTCATTCTGTTTGCAATATGTTTTATTAAAACAAAATAATTAAATAATATTTATTATGTATGATTTTTTGTTAAATAAGACAATAATGAACAAAATAACAGATTCGACAAGCCAACCAGTATTACATGCATTTATTCATGATCATCGTTTATGACGAAATATGTATCTGTTTTGTATTTGTAATAAAATTATTGTGTAAATATGTATTTGCATTTTATATGTAAGTAGTTATATCTAACAGGGTTTTCAATAGAAAATATATTATTCTGAATTTAAAGAAAATATGCAATAAATAAAAATAAAGTGGCATTTTCTATAATTGGTAATATTTAGGTAATTTCCTTCTGTGTTTCTTAGAAAAGGGGACACCCTAACGAACATACATACATATATGTACATTAGACCGACTCACTCTGTATGGAAAGCAAAAACTTGTTTTTGTTATCCCTCTAAAAATTTACCTTGCTTTGTTTTATGATGATTCCCTAAATATTTTAAGTCTAGCGATGGCCGTTCGTGAGCTGGACTAAATTAAAAAAGGTACTTTTGATGGGGTATCGTTTGAAAGGGGTTTTTAAGCCGCGTCCAATGATGTATTAATAATAAAAAACTGTCTGCTCATAATTGCCATATTCCAAAAAATTTAAAATTATTTATTTTTTTATTAATATAAATAAAATTTATGCACAATTTTCCAAATTTTGCACACCACTGGACGCGAATTCAAAAAACCGTTTACATGATACCACATATTGTATATTTTGTTTAAGAAAAAACTGTAAAATTAAAAAAAAAAATAACTAAAAAGGGACTTTTTTGTAACCAGTCCAGCTCACGAACGGCCAACGATAGATTAGAAATATTTTGGGAAACATCATAAAACAAAACAAAGATTTTTTGAAAAAAAAAAAATCATGTCCCCCATAGGATATTTTCTTGAAAACTGTCCAGCTCACGAACGGCCAACGATAGATTAGAAATATTTTGGGAAACATCATAAAACAAAACAAAGATTTTTTGAAAAAAAAAAAATCATGTCCCCCATAGGATATTTTCTTGAAAACTGTCCAGCTCACGAACGGCCAACGATAGATTAGAAATATTTTGGGAAACATCATAAAACAAAACAAAGATTTTTTGAAAAAAAAATCATGTCCCCCATAGGATATTTTCTTGAAAACTGTCCAGCTCACGAACGGACAACACTAAACCCAAAATATTTTGGGTAACATCATATTACATAATAACGAATATTTTGAGGGGGGTAACTCAAGCACCATTTTTTGTGAGTCGGTGTAATGTAGTATATATGTGTATTTATCTGCATGTTTATGTATGAGTAAATGCAATTTTATGTACGTTGATATGGGCGTTTACCGCCAACCACATGGCAAATTAAACAATTATAAATATTGACAGAATTATGAACTTAATGTTTCTTTTTTGTTTCATATTTTTTCCTACATATCTACATATGTATGTATATGCATTGCATGTTGCAATCAAACTCATATCGATCCGATCCAACCACCCCATCCAATGAATCCCAAACCTATCTGCATGTATTTTAAAGTTCTCTGCATACATTTTATTTCGACTTAGATCAATTTATTTAAAGGATATTTAAAATGATTATTCGTTTCGTTTTAGGAATAAAGTTATAGAATTCAAATAATTTTTATGAACGGCACTGTTTAAGAAACTCTTATATACATGCATATGAATATAATATTATAAATTTAATGTCACATTCAAATTTACATACATACATACATACATATGGACCTATGTATATGCATATATTTACGTATATGTATCTATGTATGGATTGTACACTTCCATATTCATTTATTGTTGAAATGATAATTTTAATGCATTATGGCAATTTTTGTTATAAATATCTACCATAGGATATAATGGTATTACTACTATTTACTATAAAATGTGTATATGTATGTGTGTAGGCATTTACATTGACTTGTGTATTGTTACTGAGTTCGTTTAAATGTGTGTTCATTCCTAGCAAACATTAAGTCAAATGTTAAAAAAGTATTCTTTTATAATTATTATTTTGTTTAAATATATCAAAGTGGTTAGTTGATCCTAATTTAGAACCCCCAAGCTGTGATATACACACGTACATACATACATTTGTATACTAAAGTATAGGAAGGACACTATATATAAACAAAATGTTATTTAGATTTAGTAGAGTCTCAATCGTAAAGAAGAATATTATTTTAGAATTGAGAAAGAGTTTAATTTCAAATCATTCTCAATATGAGATCAAACATGTGTTTGCTGGGTTTATGTGTACAAAGTTCACATGTTTTAATTGTATACGTTTATGTTGATGTTTGCGTATAAAGAATGGAATGGGATGGAAGTGTGTAGTTATAGCATGTGTATTATGAGCCATTATATCAGTTTTAAGGAAATTAATACATACATATATGTATGTATATGAGTCGGTTTGTCTGTCTCTTTTGACTGTCCGTCCGACTGTTTGTTTGGATGTATGTGTAGTGAAGTGCAATATGTTGCAGTTGACACTTTTAGTATTATACCTACTTAAATAATAAATTGCATTTAACCTTTTAAATGCTTGGTAAACTCAAAGGAAACAACTTGATGAAATTTACATAAAACAGAAAAGAAAAACAGTAGAGTGAGATATATGTACATATGTATGTTTGTGTACATTGTACATACATATGTATATAAATTTATATACGTATACTTGTTTACTTATTACTGTTAGTTATTTTATTAAATTAAGGTCAAGTGTTACTAAATAAAGATGACTTTGATGGTAATGACTAGTTAAAGTTAAATTAATAAATATTATTTCATGTAGGTCTGATGTGCATGCAGAAGTAAAGAAGAAAACACAGGGTTAATGCATAACATGATTTTCCTCATACTTTCTTTAATTCCTGGAAAGTATTTGAATTGATTAAATTTTTTATAGCATTTGTTATCGAACGATAATGAATACAATTTTATGATTAAATTCAGTTTTATAAATTCGATACAACTTAAAATCAAGTCGATGAAAATCATGATTTGGTCAACTTTGCTACTTACTGTTTATGATTTGACCTAATACATTTTCGAATTATTGTTTAAAATTTTTTAAAATATAGTGACTTCAAATCTGTAACATTTGTATAGTCATTTTCAAGAGCGAAATTCAATAGATAGGATTTAAAACTTAATGTTTTTGGAACATTTGTTTGCAGAAAAGGTTTTTGTATTTCTAAAACTTTTGAGTTGTCAATGATGATATTGCATTTGTAGCTGTAGATACTTTTATTTTTAACATTAAAAGAAATTACAGAAGTTTATAACAAAGTAAAATGTTATTTAAGCATTTAC